AAATTGAACATGGGTATTACAGTTATTTCACAGCTTCCCAAGAAACAGTCCCAAATTTAAAATTGAACAAAATCACTGAGCTTATTTTCTTTTACTTGTAGTATAAAACCCAAATGCAATATCTTTACATAAGTCCTTTGCTTTCCATTACCTAGAAGGAAATAATTCTCTGCCATTTACTGTGAAGTATATCACCACTGCTACTTGGGAAAGTTTTAAGGAACACTAAATGTAGTAGCAGTTTTCTTCTTAACATGGCATGCTAGCAACAAAATATTCTCTTGCTAATAACAGCTTCTGTTTATTTTTTGTACTGGGATATTCCGGTTACCAAGTGTGAATTATACCGTGCTTTGTTTGGATTCAAATAAAAATCAAGTTCACCCACAGTGGTCTGGCTTCATTTTCTCTCCCACCCTCATCCATCTCATTTTTTTATCCACAGTGGGCCCATCCAGCAGGGTTGGGAGGGGACAGCAAGCAGCTCTTTTGCCTTTCTGCTCAGTGCTATTTCAGGTTTCTGCCAGCAAGTAACACTGATGGAGTAACGCCACCGTTCACTTGTGTTACAGCCCACTCCAGGAACACCACCTCTCCAACGCGCAGAGATGTGCTGGCTTTCGGTGGGAAAAAAAAAAAAAAAAAAAAAAGTGCTATTAGAACTACCAGAGTTATCCTGTGACTTTAAAATGTTAAACGCCTTCCACGAGGCTCAAATGTTACTTCTTAGCAAGAATTTGGTTATCTACTGTGGGGGTTTTGATTGTCATCACTTTTAAGACTAGAGAGACTGAGAGCATGTGAGCAGCTAAATCTAAACTGCACGATTAGTGTTCTTCTAAGTGCTGGATTTTTAGCAGTGTGAACATGAGTTTCAGTGCATGTCGTGGATAGTGGTCAGGGCTGAGCTCACCTTGTCTTCAAAATCCCATCCATTCCAATCCTGTCCCGTCCCCAGAGGACTATGGGATCAGAGGTTGAAAATCTGCCAGTACAAAGATGCAGAATGGGTTCCTCCTGTATGGATTTTTTTTTTTCCACTGCAGAAGATCTCCTACGTAATGCATCACCATTTTTTTGGCTTTTATAAACTGGAAAATTTTTTTTTTTTTTTTTTTTTTTTTAAATGTGTGGCTTAAATCCTTCTGCTTATATTCTCGTACCCCAGTGAAACAGAAGAAAATGACATTTTGGCATTTTTTATGCACAACCTGTCAGAGCAGGATTTTAGTACTCCTAAGTTGTTCCCAGCCCCAGTAGGCTTTCTGGGAGGGCACACAAATTTGCTGTTCTTGAACACTGGAGTGAGAAAAGGTCAAACTGAAGTCCAATGTTTTGAAACATTTAAAGAAATACAGAAAAAAAAAACCCCAGAGATTTCTAAGTTTCCTAGCTTAATTAAGAGGATCTTTGCTATGGAAGATTCAAGTAGAAATGTAGACATCTCCCAAACCTGTGCTTTTAAAATAATACATACAATTTAGATCCCTCGTCATGCTTTTACAACAATATATGGAATTTAGATACCTCTTACCACTTTCAGAATGAAACACTGAGTAATTTTACACCTTACGCTCTAGGTAAATTATATCCTTATAATTTACTGTGACACAAATATGCATTTATGAAGTCAGACTTCAAATAAAGTATACAGTAAAAATAAAACATTTATCTCTTACAAGCTTTTGTTGTTGCTAAAGCTCAAATTTGCTGAGAAAAGTAGTCAGGGCAAGGCAGCTGTTAGAGAGTGAGTGGACAATGTATCTGACTTTATCAGGTCACTCACTTCCCCACTTTTGGACTAGAACTAGGCTGACCCCCTCCAACAGGCAGCATCTGAGCCTCTGGCACAGTTCCTGCACGGGCATCTCTGGAATGGCTTCTTCATCTATCACAACTGTTAAAAAGCTTCTGGGTAATCTTTTGTCATTTTTACGTAATTTCCTTCAGATTTGGAAATATTTAAAGAGATTTTAATCTACCTGAAAGTGAGGCACTTGAACAGTCACGCTGTTTCTGTGAAATATGTGAATTAAAATACAGGAGCTTATTTTACACTTTACTGTGTTTAGGGTTTTTCATTCCTGATATGTTACATTTTGTTTTGGATTTGTGGCATGGCCATGTCACTACCACTGTTCTTAAGAAGAAGCAGAGTGTCAAGAGAGGCATAAACAGAAAAAAAAAAGATAATTATGTTTCAAATGTTTTTTTTTTTTCTAGGAGAGATAAAACACCTACTTCACTTCCCATTGCATGTCACTTAAGAAAGGGAGCTCATGGGTGCTGCTCTGTGCAGCTCTGAAGGTGGGCAGCAAAATAAATTGGGACTAGCATGTGTAAAAGGCTTACATGAATTACACCAGTCACAAGGCATAAAAGTTTTAACCTTTTCATCATTTTAACATGTATGCAGCTTTATTCATGTATGAACATAAATCACTCTTAAGCTTTTTTCCTAATTTTGATTGGGTACCTCTTGGGGCTACACGTCAGAATATAACAGAGCCGCACAGGGCAAGCAGAATATAATGAAAAAGAAACTATAAGGCATATGTTTTTTGTGTGCTGTGCTCTATTCTCATGCAAGTCCTAAGGATATGTGGTGATAATATTAATTTGTCAAGCGTAAACCCTCAGGTCCATTTTACTTTCTCCATTTTCAGATGGAAAAACTGGGAAGAAATTTGGATTTTGCTGGAGTTTAAATGTATACAATGTCTTTTAGAGAAGCTAGCTAGCTGTCTGGTACAGTGCATTATGTTTGACTATGACTAGCTTCTTGTGAAAGGAGAGGGAAACATCCTCTGTTTAAGCATTTTTTTACTGTTTGTAGTCTAAAGTTATATATAAACCAAAACTTAGGTTCCTGAACCCTGACTTCTTACAGAACTGCTTTTTGTTTTGTGAAAGCCAGCTGTCCACATAAGTGCTAGGTAGATAGATTTAGATTTAAGTTTAGGTTTGTATACATATATTCATATGTAAATATATATATATAAAAATCCATTTTCTGTTGTTCTGCCTCAATTGAGTAGAGTGAAGATGGAACCTCATAATTCCCTGTAATAAGATTTTATGCTTACAGACTCCAATACAAACAAAGTATTGCTAAAAACAATCACAATTTCTTCAGGTACTGAGCTACATTTCAGGGGTTCATATAAGCAAAAGCACAGATTTTAGTGGATTTATTATATAGGCATTTACAGTGACTGATTTTTTTTTTGTATCTGTGCAGTTGGCATTGGGTTTAACTACTTTGGGTGTTGCTTTGTCTGCATGTGCAGTTATTAACATAATCCAGATTTATCATGTAAACATGCTAACATACATCTGATTAAAACTCAGTTCAGCCTTATCTATATATGCAGTGATGGTTCCTCTGTAATATATAAAATGCTGTAATAAGGTCTCTATCTATCTATAAAATATGAAAGAAAGATAAATTAAAGCAAGGTATCTCAAAACATATTGATTCTATTTCTGCAGAAACCAAACTCAGTGACTGTCCGCTGAAGATCCCAAGAAGTGATTTTCTGCAAATACATAAAATCTGATGACTTACACACTGACTTGTTCATAATTTTTTTCCACACTGGGGCTGTTGTGTGGTTTCCATAATGCTGTAAATCATGATTAAACACATAAAAAAGATTGTCGCCCAAGTTCCATTTTAAGCCAAGTGAAACATAATACAATATAAAATTTACATCATTTTCTTGATTAACCCTGATGAACCTTCAGTCATTATCCATTATAGTAAGAGCAAATTGGAAATGTTACTTTGTTCATAAAACATGTATAGACGTTTTCATGACTCATAGATTTGATGGTTACTAACAGCTGACACATTCATAATGAAATACTGTACTTTGGCTATCTGTGAAAGTATGCTACCACATAAGGCATCAGTCCTGTGTCCTGTACTGCAGCGCTGTATTTTGCTGCCCTTTGGACATCAGAGAATTTTGAATGTTGAGGTAGAATCAAGTGCATGGAATATAAATACAGGCAAGAGTTTTCAGAACCTTTACATTTACGTACTGAATCTCTATGTGTCTTTCACTCATGTTTCACAGGGGTTTTTAGCAGCACAAGAGCATTTAACAAATTAAAACTACTCCTCTCTGTCATCCGTAGAAGTCTGTAAAGTTTTTCTCCTTTTGCTGCTGTGCCAGGAATATTTTCTAATAGACACTGCTGTTATCTCTGTAGCGGTAAAGTGCTCTTAGATCTGGCCTTAATGATTCATTACAATCTTGGCTTTTGCTACTTTAAGTCAAGTTGCACCACGGTGAATTGCATGATAACATTTTTCTACCAGTTACAGGGCTTTCAGTTTTTGTGTGCTATGTGAAGTATACCTTGGTGTACTTCTCAGTCCTACAATTAGCTGTGGTAGATGGATCACTGTTCAGAGCCCCATGGAAAGAAAAGGCGATTTAAGTTGCTAGAGAAAAATGGGAGCAAGGAGGTGTTTATTTTCTGAAAAATACCTTTTTTTCAAGAAAAAGATCGTAGGAGCAAAACATAATTTTTCACAATTTTCATGATACTTGTTTTCTTTTTTTTTACTACTGAAACTAGCCTTGAAGATGTTTATTGACTGAAATCCAGTTTTCAGCAAGCACATCAATAAGCTCAACAAACATTTTGAATAAAGTATTAAACACTTGCTGCAAAATGTCAAATAGATTTTAGAAGGCCAGATTTTTTTCATTACATTTAACATGCTCGGAACACCCCTAGAAATCATGCAATGATAGGGATAGGAGTAAATACAGTTTATTGCAACATTCAGTCTGTAAACTCTTCAGGATATGCAGCAGAACTTTATGAATAGTTTGCCTTTGTGTGCACATCCTCTACAGAGATGAGTTGGATGGCTGATCAAAAAAAAATGCTATCATTTTTGACTAATTATGACTGTAGGGAGCCTAAGGAAGAAGTTTCAAGGGTAAAAAACGCTTGGCAAATGATGACTAGAACAGTTTCCCATGCATAAGGATGCCATGGAAGGCAGAAATCATTGTGGAGAAAAACAGACAAATGGGGCGTTGTGTCTGACATCTCTGGCAGGGAGACGATGTAAGAAGAAACTGGATCAGATACAGGCATCACCAAGTCAGGTAAGGCCTTGTGTAGCAGCCCAGGGAATTCAGCAGTGTTAGGTTAGGCAGAAAGAAAGATTCATTACTGATCTCCTCAGCTGTTGTTTTTTGAATTACAACATAAAACTAACATCAACAAAATCAAATGAAAGGGCTTCACTGTGCTTTGTCTTGTTTGAGCTCTTCAGTCTTGATTTTTTTTTTTTCCCCTCCACTTGGAAAATATGGATGAGGGTACAAAAGGAACTTTCCTCTGTTGCATCTACAGTATCTGTTTCTCGACAGCTAAGATCTCCATTTCATTTCTGGAGGTTTTAAATATCATTTTGTATTGTGGAGAAAAAGAAACACTCATTCCACGTGTAAGATTATTAATAGTGGTGATTTTGTAACTTGTGAATATACTTTCAAACAATATATTGTTAGAGCAGTGCAAAATTAAAAGTAATAGTCGTGTTCTTTCTCTAGCTTGACTTAATGTTGTTATTAGATCTTCATCCGTCTTGGTATTTTTGCCAGCAGTTTTAGGGTTATAGAAAGAGAGCATTACCACTTAATAGCAAAAAGAAAATAGTAAGGCATTATGTAGAATTACCCATTAATATTGAATGGTGAATTTCTTTATGTATACTGTAGGTATGGACTGGCAGATTTGTATAACGTGATGAAGTTATTTTTCCTGAAACCAAAACCAAGTTGGATTTATGTCTTAGCTTCTCTCACTGGGCAAAACTTCATTGAGTGAAGAAAATGTGTGTATTTTGTGTGTAGTGGAGCTGGAAGAGGTGCTCTTGTACAAGCAGATGTTGAACGAAATCAGATTTTTTTTTTAATGTTCCTTTGTTGCGATGTTTACTGCTCTGACTCAACAACCTAGATCACAGACTCTATTGCAACCCTAGATTTTCTCAATATTTCAATACTTAAAATTTCGTCAGGTTGCATGCACTTGCATTTTGTGAATGTCAGAAGTGAGTGCCTATAAGATAATAACAGCACCCACAATTAGCCTTTCCTTGGTTTCTTCCAGTTGCCCAGCGTGAGCCCTAAGAAGACCTGCCTTGAACGCTCAGATGCTGATTTTGCAGATATGATATGTATATATGCATTCGTTTGGTAGATGCAATATATCTGTCCCTGAAAATATAGCGCCTGCTTTTGGACTCAGAATTTCCAGGAAGATAATTAAAGCAATCTCGCACCTTCCAGCCCGCACCTGCCACCATGCGAGCGGCCAGCCCAGCTCAGCTCCCCCCAATCATATTCACGTTTGGACGGTAGTGTTTCATGGTTAATACAAATCATAAACAGGCTGTAAAAGCTGAAGCATCAATGAATTCTAGCTTTAAAATTGCTGGAAGCTAAAGTTTTAAAACTGATACTGCAAAGTGAAAAATGAAATTTAACCAGGCATTTTGGTGAAGGAAAAATAATTTATTGGATGTAAGATGAAAAGCTGTGAGAGTAAACATCAATCTCATCTTAGACACATGTCATTGATTGATGTTTGCTCTGTGCTGCTGCCTGGAGGTAAACTCTTTGAAATAGCAAAGTAGGTACTTTATCTGTCTGTGGATAGGAGCACAGTTTGTTAAGTTACTGCTTTTTTGAGACCCTGCTACATCTTTATGTTCAATCAAAGTGAAAACAGTAAATCAGAGTAATTGCTTTACCCCACGGCATTCCTGTTTGTAAATGGGAAAAAATACTGTAAAAATCCTCAAATTAACTTCTGCTGTTTAAGCTAGATAAAGAGTCTAAAATGTTGGTTGCAATTTAGGAAGGTATTTTATTGATTATGTCACTTGTTCATCAAAGGCAGCCCCTTTGTTATAGTTGAACTCGTAGTTCACATGTCACTAGGGAAAACATTTCATGCTCAAAAATGTAAGGTTGCCATCTCTAAGAGCTCCCCATAATCCATTAGCAATGAGTTCCCAAACAGGCGTTGTTTATACTTATCTGGAAATGGAACTGGTACCAAGAAACTCACCAGTGAAAACTATGGACACAAACAGGGAAATAGAAGACAGGCATGAAAGGATAGCACTTCCATGTTAAGCACAGTAATTCAGCAAGCAATTACCTGACTGTTATAATGAAATTGTCAGAATTAAGACTTCTCTAAAAATGTTTGGGGCTATTGCCTTTATAAGGTCTCAGGCTGGTTAGTCCTTTTGTGTTTTAAAATATTGCAGAGATACAGGAATGATAGTATGTTTAAATTCAGAATCCAATTTCCATTCTGAATTCAGTTTCATAATCGCTGTCCTGCATCGAGGTTGGACTGCTTTTTTTATTGAGTTGTGTTTTTCCCTTGAGTTACTCTATTTAGCTACTTTGGCATAAATGTGGTAATTGAGGGGAGAATTAGACCACTAAATATTTAAGAAAATGTCCTCACTTCAGCCTGAAATTTAGTATATTGACTTGTGTGCCAGATTACAATTTGTGGGGAAATGTTGAGAATAATCAGTAAACCATTATAAAATTTATTTTCTTGAAATATTACCTGTTTTTCATGGGTTTGAAGCAGTTCCAACTTTGTTCATAATTCAGAAATGACCGTGTGCTAAAATTTAATTTCAAAGATGTATGTGTTCTCACAGAAAACTTGTTCACAGGTCTAGTTTTATTCTTGAAATGCACATATCTTTTAGTCACTTATGGTGTGGGTTGTGTTTTTGAGGGGTTTTGTTTGTTTGTTTGTTTGTTTGGAACATGATCAGCTCTGTACACTCCCAGGGCATATTCAGGGACTGCACTTGGCAGCTTGGGGGTGGTATCATTTCCATGATTCTGGGAGTGGGTGTTGTGGTCTGATGGCATTTTGTATGGAGTCTCAAATGGGGAAGTTGACAAAATCTGGGAAGGAAGGTGAGCTAGGGCTGATCTTGCAAATGGGATCTAGGTCTTCCCTAGCTCACAGAAACTGTGTTTTTGCCATATTAAGAAATTGTTGCATGTTAGCGTGAAGCGTCAGCTCTGCTTTCGTTACTAATATGTCTAGACTTAAGGTTCTGAAAGTTTTGTGCAGAGTGCCACACGTAGCTGCTCAGGTGAAGGAGATCAGCCTTCTGGGTCAAAAACATTAACTGCAAATAAACAAGCTCCTGCTAAATCTATATCACAATATTTATGTGCATGGGGAGGTAGAAGGAAAGTGTGTGTGTGTAGGGGTGTTGCAAAGCCCTCACAATTCAGTGAATAACGAACTCAGTCTTTGGACTGGAAAATGATATTGGAAGGCCTGGAAAGGCAACAGCGAGATTGCAGGTTACTGCAAACTATAACAAGTTCAGTAATTGTCACCAGGTGTGTGTATATGCACAGTAACACCTTCCTCTGTTGTGCTGGTAGGGCAGCCTGAGTCACTGCCCCCTTCCTTTGCAGAAAATATAATAAACTGATGCGAGACGAGGGGAGCACTGGTGATCTTGCCCTCAATTTACCTACCTATGTCTCTTACAGCCTCAAAGATGCCAGCTGTTATGAGGATGATGATCTCATAGCAAAATAACAGTATCCTTCCTGAATCTCTCCTGGTGATGCAGCAATTTAGTGGTCTCTGTAAAGGTCAAGAAGTATTGTTAATGCACACCATACATCTGTGAAGGTGTGTAATTCCTCAGAGAAGGTGCAGTGCTTTAGTTTGTGGAAAAAGACATCTTCCTCTGAATGCAAAACTTGGGCATTCCCTAAAACTGAAGGACTGAAGAATATGTTGGTGCACTGTCTCCACCCAGTTCATCATGGAGATTAGACCTTTTTATTTGAGTTGTTCCAAGTAGTGAAGTCTGAGGAAGGTAAACTGAGTCAGAAATAGTGTGCTTAAGAACAAAAGAAAGAACAAAAAGGAGACTATTCAACACTTAAAACTTTAGGCTTTTTATATGATTGGTTTCAGCCTAGCCTGAGACTACTTAACTCTTTGGACTTTGTAGGAGATTAAATCCCGTTCCAGATATTGCTCTGCTCCTAGGATGTCCCCTAAGCTGTCTCTGTCTATTTCTAATTAAGGACTAAAGGAAGCAGTTCCTTCTGATGTCAGGAGTAGTGTGAAGAAAGCTATGAGCATTTCTCATTCCTGTGGGGAAGGTGGTGCCGCAGCTGCCCTCCCATCAGGCACCAGTGTGCCTGGGCTGTCCTCTGCAGGCTGGTCTTCTGGGGACTCACGCCTACCTAATGCATGACCAAAGTGTGGGTAACTATCAAGATAATCTTCCAAAAGTCATCGCACAAGATCGAAATTTATTAAACATCCGTACTCCGAGAAGTTTGGCAATCCTCTGGTATTCTGATCTGTAAAATACTGAAGAGTGAAATCATTCAAAGTATTCTAGAATAAGCAGAGAAGGTAGGGCTGCTGTGACTGTGGGGTGGTGATGGTGTGCTAAAGGTGCTTTGAGTCTGAGGCACTGGTATTTAGATGGAATTAACTGGTATGGCCAGTATGTTTCTTGTCTTAGGGCTGAGATAAATCAAAGTGTGTTTTTAAAGCAGTATGCTAAATTTGAGATAGTGTAATTTTTATAATACATTTATTTATATATAATTTTTGCAAGTATTTGTCTTGTTACTCATGCTTCAGTTATGTCCTTTAAGCATGAATTTGAAACAGATGCAGCATTAAAAAGCTATTTAAATTAATCCTTTTAGAGTTTTACCTCTATGAAACAAATACAAATGATAATGACTTTTGAGATGACTGTTCTTTGGTTTCCAGGACTTGCGAAACTGCTTCAACATTTTGTCCTGTACTAGCCAAACTCTTAATCAATAAAATGATGTGTGAGCATGCATATAGCACATATATGCACATACATCACCCACATAGGCACACATGCCCCACTGAGGAAAAAATCTTGAAATATTCATGAACTTGTTCTTCATGGCTTAGCTGCAGAAAAGGCACACACTGTAAATGATTAAAAAGGTACATGTACATTTGGGATTGTTTTAAATTACATTTTTTTTAAAAAAAGAAAGAAGGAAGAAAACTATTAAAAAGAATCATTTTCCATTAACTGAAGTGTTTGCAATAAAGACAATTATAGCAGTTGGCAGCATTCTCCTTGAACGAAAATAAATAAATACATTTGGTGACATACGTTCAAGGAAATGTGATTGTTGCAATGTTCATGCAAATAAGGAGCAGCCTCACAAATGCTAGAGATTTTACCATCTGGTATTACCAAAGGAATACAACTCTCAACTTGTAGCTCTTCCTAACTTGACTGCTTATAGATGGCATATTAGGCATTTTCACACATTTACTCCATTTGCATAATCATTCTGAATTATTGCAGGTTGTGCATTGCATTGCCAATGGTGAACTTCTTGTTTGGGAAGGGGGTTCAGAGATCTGACGTCTTCATCAACTATATCTCCATCAAATAAAAGAATAAAAATGTCCTCCTACTTCAGAAGTATAACACCAGTGTATTTTTAAATTTGTATGAGGCCTAGTGAAGAATGTTGCACTTGTTTACTTCCTAGAAACTGGGCAGAGAACAGTATTATAATTAATCTCAGAGGAACTGTCCATTTCTGTTTGACTGCAGGCTAGAGTCCAAATGCAGTGTCTCAAAGAGTCAGGAGGTTCTGAATGGGGAAACCTGGCTGAAGATCCTGCAACTCCAGGAAAACCCAATCCAACAACAGCTATTCAGGGTGGCAGAAAGTCTACTTTGGACACGGAGGTTGTTGTTAGGAAGTCTTTTGCCCTAACTTAACTGATGAGAGTACGCTCATATAGCATGATGTAGTAACTGAGGACCATTGCTCATGTAGCAGTAAATGACAACTGCTCTGCCTCTGGCCTTGGCAGTGTGTGCAGTGGATGATCTCCACTCATAGGGACCCCATGGGGAGGCCTTTGCTATCCCCTCCTGCCTGGAGAAAGGCATTTCCCATGCCCAAAACTCCACCCCTATGATTGTCTCCTAATTAAACTGCTTTTCCAAGAGAAGGTGTTGGTGTGAATAACATGCATTGCTCATGAAGAATACGGGATAAAACCTAAAAAACCTCAAGCACCAGTAAGTGGAATAAAAAACAGGTGGTTGTAAGCTGTCTCCAACCTGTTGCACTGAAACCCCATGTTCACAATAAATCCCCGTGTTTGAGAGCCCTGCTCAGTGTTTGGCATCTTCCCCCAGCTGCCCTCAGACCCACCAGAAGGGTACTCTGCAGTCTGGTTGGAGTTGGCAGCATTAACAAGTAAATATAAGATTTTGTGTTCGTTTAGTGACTGCTAAGGCATTGTTTTAAAATACTAATAGTGTCTAACGTATCCTATGTATGTTGAGCTCTCTCAAGTCTTGAATTAGCATCAGATAGCTGTTGGCCTTTTGACTGCCTTGCCTGAGGCATACTAGGTAATATCACGTGGGTAGCCGATGCAACATATGTTTTGCTAACTGGGAAGCTGGTTAGCAAGACAACCTTTTCCTTATTAACACATGGTGCGCTTACATGACATTAATATATATTTCTACTTTACAGATTTACAGTGCCAGAAGAAAGGCATTAGCTGAGCTAAGCAGAATAGGCAATCAGCATACTCGTCACATTGTCCTGAAATAACACCTAAACCTTATTAGACACATTGGTTTCCTTTGTGAGGAGAATAAAATGTAACAGACTGAAATGTGCAGACCTGTGTTGTTCTGTGGAAATTCCAGGAGAGGATTCTCTGGTTTATGTTGTCATGCATTAAACTAGAATTCTGGGAAAAATAAGAAAAAAAAAAAAAAAGAAAAAAAAAAGTTATTTTTTATTCTGGATGTCTGTATTGGAGCCAGACCAGTTCATTTCTAAAAATTAATCCTGTGGTGTAATGCAGTGATTTTATTCGTTCTCCAGATACACTGTAACAGCCATACATACACTATTGTGCCAGTATTCATTTATTCATGCTCTGAAGTTGTGATAGTGTCAAATCCATCAGAAAGAGGAATTGTTTCAGTAGTAGTTTCACGACTTGGCTGATTAACAGAGATCAGAAGCAGCAGCCTAACTGTGGAAACCACTACAGCATGTAGTTTTAACAGCTCTTTAGGGAGCTAGTTAATGAAAGAATCACTACAGAAACACATCCATGTGAAAAAAAGGAGCATTCTCATACAACACTCAGAGGATATGTCATAAGTGGAAATATGTTCATAATTTCTATTTACTCATAGCTGTAATTACCATCTGCCTTAAGAGTACATTCAGTCTTTGTCAAAGTTGCTTAGATATTTCCTTTGTCACATTTCAAGCAGAGAAGTTCTGCACAGACTAGATCATGCCCTGTGATTTCTGTTTTATTCTTCTGTAAGAATTTAATTATCTATTCTCTGTGTGATGAAAGCACCAGCATTCTCAGAGACCTGAGCCTCCCCAGCCTGCTTGGACTGGCATTCATCTGATTCATGTTCTTGCTTATTTTTGCCATCTGTCTGCAAACCAGAGTTCTTCACTTTTAAATTCTTGCTGGTTTATATGTTGCCCGCTAATTTTTAACTCTTAAAAAGCTATTCCTTCTTTTTGCTGCAGTGTCTATGAGCCAGATAGAAACGTGCTGCGAAGGAAAGAATGGGAAAGGAGAAATCAGGAGGCCCAGCAGGAGGATGGCACGTTTAACACGAGTTACTCCCTCTTCAGTGAACCGTACAAGGTAGATGCTTCCCAGCTGGGTGGCTCTTTGTTTATTTATTTATTCCACAGTACAGAAATGCAGCTTGCAGAAGACATTGTCCAGGTTTGAGCACCCTCCCATTAGTGCTAGCCTCACAAAATTCACAGAGAACATTTATCGTTCATTGAGAATTGGATTTTATATATATGTGTATGTGTGTATATGTGTGTGTGTATATATATATATGTGTAAGCTTATAATGTTCAACAGACATGAGAATGAAATAAACTAGAAATATCCTAACGATATTTGAGATGGAATTAAAACTAGGAGGTGAAGGTGACGGTGCCCTGTTTTGCAACACTTAGAAGAAAACAAGTGTGGGAATTGTGTGAGAAGGTCAAGTAATACAGTAAACATTATGCTCTGGCCAAGGTTACTACAATGAAATATCTTGGTGGTTTGGTTTTTTTTTCAATAAGCATTACCAACAAAATTTTTCTGCCAGACATGTTTTGTCCTCACTAAAGTAGTAACTTATGAGTCAACTCCCTGTTTTATCTCATGGTAACAGTAGTGTGATGAGGCACAACTGTCTCTCCCCACTCCCTGTTGGTAGGGTCAAGCAGGATCTTCTGCACTTTACAGAAGGCTGCAAGCCAAACCCTTGTGAACAGGATCAGAGATCAGTACCCCATAGGGGCTGCTCTGCCCCCCCAGCTAACCCCAGTGACTTTGCCTGTGTGCATCAATGCATCATGATGTATTGTCAACTGTGCCATTCCAGTAACATCCAGGTTACTGTTACAACCACCACACTGTGAAACCTTTCCCTCCACGCAGCATCACTTGTCCTTGATGCTTTGGGTGCTTTAGTGCCTCTTTCCAAGAGTCCTATTTGGGTCCTGGCACTTGGCTTCTGCACCTGATTTCCATTGTTCCGTGATTTTGCCTGTGCTCCAGGGTCAGGTTTTAGCTTGCTGTTCTTCCAGATTGTTGTTTGTTTCTAGTTCCTAATAAAAAAGAAAGATCTACCACTTCCAAACGATGTCCCTTGATAGAAGACAGCTCTGTCTGCCTTGAAGCTGACCTCCAGCTGCCCAAATTTCAGATTCATTACAAAGGCATTTAGAAACCATGGGAAATGTCTTGAACTCCTCAAGGCTCTACTTGAAAAAGTCTACTGTGAAACCAATCAAGGGCTATTCGATGGAAAAAATCCTGAAAAGCTTGAGTCAGCTGTGTCTTGGCATCTCGTGAGGACTCTGCTGCAATGGGGACTTAATAATTTTCCATTTGGTAGGTCCAAGCAAATAGACCCCTTACAAAAAGGTCCTGTCCTTTTGATGGGTCCCTGATACCATTTTGTCTGTGGTACCTAAAGCTGGTAATACCGAAGCTCAAATCAGTTATAAAAGTGGCATAGTCGGAATGGCTTCTACACTTTGATTATTACCTGTGTGCCAGTGTACTGACTGTCATGGCACAGACTCCACGTATCATGGCCACACCAGTGGTTTCTGTCTTATGATTTCTGAAGGCACCTCTGTGCAACCACAGTATAATTCCATCAACTTTAATACAAGTGGGTGAAAACCCATTGTCGTCTCCAGAAGCAGAGAGGATACTGAGTGGGTGTCCTATGGGGAGACCAGAATAATGGCTCCATACATGCTTCTTATCTTTAAACACTATGTCCCTATTTTGGGCAGGCGTATAAAGAAGGTGCTGCAGAAATGCATCCTACAGCTGGCTTTGTCAAGGAAACATGGAGAAACATAAAGCCCAGGACAGCAGTATAACTCATCCACAGCTCTGTTGGTGTGACAGTCGCAGCTGCTTGGGATGACCAAGTCATTCTGACAATATTGGACATCAAAACTTCAGCAGTGGCGTACTCTGAATGTCATGTGTACACCAGCAATGGGCCATTGCACTGTCTGAACTCATCCAAGCATTTGTGAACCTTCGGGGTGAGGATGCAGAGCTGTGGCTTGGGCTTTTTGATCTTATCATGGAGAGAGGCAGACTGCAAAAGAGGTAACCTTTCTGCAAAAGCAAAACTGAAAGACACTCATACTGTCTTTAAAGATCATGTTCAAGTTTTAGGTGTTTCCAGAGGGAAATGAAGTTACAGCAGACATTCACTGCAAGCTCTGATTAAATTCAGCATTCCTCTGCGCAGCTTGAGAAACATGAGCTAAAGCCAAAGGATTTGCCATTCAGAAGGCCATATCTGAAAATCAAAGGCAGACTGGAAATCTCTTAAATCTTATGTCCTTTCTCACCTTGACATGTATCGCTACTCCTGTAACATCAGATTTTCTGAAAAATCCTGACTCTTCGGGTTGCCCCTTATCCTGTTCAAAGTATCCATAGCAACCCTTTATGAAGGATTACGGGAAATCCAGTATCTTTCACTTAAAATGTCTTTTACAGGGGGTAAAAAGTAGGAGTTTCATGCTGGATATTTCCTGGACATAATACTTTGCCTCTTTAACCGTATCAGTATTTTTAATAAAGAAAAAAAATTCTGATGACCTTCCATAAAACCATCAGGTTTATTTTTAGAAGTGTTAAACCTTGCAGTTTTCAAATGCATGGATTCATCTTGCATTGCAGAAGAATATCAGAGCACTGTAAGTTACAAATATTTGCACAGAATGCTTTTCCTACTCATTCATTTTGTGATCATGTTTTCCTTATGTGAATGATTAAATAATTCCCACATTATTTCAGAGTAAATAATAGGATAAACTGCTACATCTAAAGCTCATAATAAGTCACCTCAGATCCCATCTTGTTCCCAAAAAGATGTAGCAGAACTCTTCTGGATGAGGTCAAAATCTTCTCACCTCAGGTTGCCCCCAGTGTATCCAGAAGGAATAAACATCACCAACCTGTTGCCAGCATGTGCCATGGTACAGGCATTAGATTGGTTCACTGCAGTTATTCTTGTGGTTATCTGGGATCTTTCAATACAAGGTGTCTCTGTGTGACCTTCACATCACATCCACTAGAAGACAATGTGCTGTCTTCTCTGGGCTGGTGATTGTCTACAGATAAACTGAGATCAGGCTTTTATTTACTTCCCATCCAAATAGAAGCAATCAGAAAGGATGAAACTCTGTTGGGGAAGTTGGACTTTCCAGGGGAAGAATTCGCACATAAATTACATTCATGGACCTAGAGGCAGCTGGGTGGAGAGCTGCCCCACAAGCTGTCTGTGCTGTAGACTTGTGGGTTTCAGGAGCCCCGTTCCACTTGGTGGTGCTTGGCAGGGAAGGAAACCTCACACCCACAGGCTAGGTGCAGGCCCAAGGGCAGATGTCCCATCCTAGAGGGAAACTGGAAACACATCACTCTACAAGGTATCTACACAAGGTTGGGGATACACTGGAAGCATAGAAGAGATCCACTGGGTAAAAGGAAAGTTTTCTGTGTCTTCTGGAAAGTAATTCTACTGGTCAAGGCAATGCCCAAGTGTAGAAGCCATTTCATTGATCCCAGGAGACACATGAGTGTATCTCCAACCTTCTTTCTTTCCAGATGTATGTGATGCTTCCCACTTCTGAGGCTTCATGAATAGTTTCTGTTTCTGTAGAACTGTCTGTGAATTAATGGTTCATATTTGTTTTCGTAGCAGGTTATTGTCCTTCTGACAACAGCAGCATATGCAGAGGGAAGATCAGGCTGTAGTGGTTGAGCGGACATTCCAAGTTTGCAAAGCAGTGTTTCAGATGCAACACTTTTGACCTTCTTCCTTCCCACTTCAATATATATTAGTGATATATATTCAACTCTGTTAGCATTATAATAAATACAAATCAGAAAGCTAGTAGTAATGTATTTTACACAGTTAAAAGGTAGTGTCCTTGAAATTTGAGGGGACAAATTTCAAGCAAGACAGGACTGCTTCTACTGTCTGACTTAGGAATGCTTCTACCGTAGTACTCTGAAGGTTAGCATGTGGCAACCACTGCAGTCATTTACAAGTCATTTTTGCTGGGCTTCAGGTTTTTTTAATAGGAAAACCTAAAAAAAGATATTCTGAACTAGGGGAGTTTCCCTTGCATTTTTGAGTCAATTTTATTTGAAGGTTTAAAAACAAAAATATCCCCAATTTTCCAGAGTAACTGATGTTGCTGCTACGTTTCATACTTTTTATATAACTTTAAGGGGGTTTTCTTCATTGCCTTTACTCCCTTCTTTGTTCTTCTTTCTGTTTTCCTCTAAAACAGAAAGTCTTGAGATGAAAGCTTAGCCTTCTGAAGCCAATGGGAGTTTTCCCATCCAGATTCCATGTCTGGAAGAGAAAAAGGAGAACATCACTGTCTTGTTACTGTCTTCCTCTGAAAACGTAAAGCAAAGAACATCACACGCCTGAATCTTGGCAGGGTTCAGAAAAATCTCTGCTGCATAAATGTTAATGATACACCCTTTTGCTTACAGTGGCTTTTTAAAGCAAGAGTTTTTGGTCTTTTCCAGTATGTTTTATTTGCTTGTTATACTTCTTTGCGGAGCTTCTGCCTTTTCAATCAGGAAGTAAATGGATGATTTTAAAGATAATGATTAATCTTAAAGGGAAGGGAGCGTGGCTGTGTTCTTCCTGCTGCACACAGCAAGCACTGAGCAATGTGAAGAATTTAGGGGGTTCTGTTCATTTTTTTTTTAAAGACGAGAGCACCCCCGAGCAAGCATCCTGTCAGAGCATTTTCAAAGAAGGGACATAATCATCTGTAGTTTTCCCATTGTCCCACGAGCTGACTTCAAGTCACCTCAGAGTGTTTGGTTGGCTTAGGCTGGTGAGTTCATTAAGTGCTTACACTAGGTTGTGTGTCTTCCCAGATACTATGTGAAAACTTAGGCAGGCAGGGAAGGAAATTGGGAATGCAGTATTTTCATTCACGGCCAAAGCAGAGCTTGCACTGGGTTATTTGAAAAGTTTTATCATGGTCAGATTTAATCCAAACCATTCTGTGTAGTTGCAATAATAAATTTTCTAGTTTCCAGGTAATATACTTTAACTACAGCATGATACCAGTGATAGATTTCTTTTTTTATATACTCTAAGGCCCTTTATAGCTTTTCCAGTTCAGGGTAGATTTAAGATGTTGACAAGTGTCTTCAGAGACAATAAGGATTTTCGATTTCATCCCTCAACACTGCTGCTGAATAAGGCACTGCTACTTCAGTAAGAATTTCAGCAGAAGCATGCAGGGAATTTTGTTTTTCTTACGTTGACTGTTGCAGAACACTAGATTTTTGTTTTGCAGACGAACAAGGGGGATGAGCTCTCAAATCGCATCCAGAATACGCTGGGCAACTATGACGAAATGAAAGACTTGTTAACTGACCGGTCAAACCAGAGCCACCTTGTTGGGGTTCCAAAACCTGGGGTTCCTCAGACATCTCTCCCCAAGGCTGATGAACATCTTACTGCAGACTCAAGACTGCCGCCTCCCCCTCCCATTTCCAGCACTACTTCTTCCACACCAGCAGCCCTACCTGCCCAGCAGAGCAAAAGTGCTGCGATGGGTTGGCAGAAGGCCGGGCACAATGCTGCTTCAGATGGCCAGCAGAGAGCGAGCAAGCACGGGCACCGGTCACTGGAGTCACACAAGGGTGACTTCAAACTGGTGAACCAAAAATCCAGTCTGGAGAAACTAAAACGCTATGCATCGAGTCCCACCTCCTCCTCCTCCTCCAACACCACCCAGCAGAGCTCACTGAGGGCCACACTAGGAGAAAACATTAACAGAGTGCAGCAGCCAGCAAAAATCAATTGCAGCTCAGAAGGAGGAGCTCAAGCACAAGAGAGGCCAGCAAAACATGGTGGTGGGCACTGCGTCCAAAATTTCCCGCCCTCTCTTGCTTCGAAGCCCAGTCTGGTTCAGCAGAAACCAACAGCTTACGTAAGGCCAATGGATGGTCAAGACCAGGCTCCTGATGAGTCTCCAAAGCTGAAGTTACCAGCTGAGACAACCAAGTCGTATAGGGGAGTGCCTTCTAACAAGCCTGATTCGGCCAGGACCAAGTCAAAGATAGCCAAGTTCAGCATTCCTAAGCAAGAAGAGGTAAGTAGTTTTATGCTTTTTATGTCATCCCCCCCTTGGAAGGATGATGGTGGCTTAGAACTGCAAATTGCATCTGTCTCTACACATTTTAATATATTAGTTTACACTTTTTTTTTTTTTTAAATAGCATTGATATACTGTATTGCAAATATTAACCTCACAGTAATGTAAAGTTATCTCAACAGTGAAATGCTCAATGCTCACTATCTGCAGGACTACAACATCTTCTACAATGGCACCAATAGCATATATTATTTTTTTTTCTTACTGTCCACATATAAAGTCTAGGTATTTTTAATTTGTATTTTTTTGCTGAGCTTGGGTATTACTTCTAATTGTTCATATTTCATTGACTTTTTTCTATTTGGCAATGATTAAATTAAGTGCTTGTGATCAGAAGTAGTTCTGCCATCCTCAATCATGTCAAAGTAGTTTCAAAAACTAAATAAATTACTTAATGTGAGATCTGTTGAATAGATGAGAATATAGCAATGAGACTCTCCTTTTAGTTCATAGTATCCGTTTCTGTTTCAAACTGATTTCTAAGATTGAGGTTTTCTTCCTAAAGCATCACCATCTGTAGAAAACCTGCCATGCTGCAAGTATGAGAACATGTCTGAAAAAGCTTCTAGACAAGATTTCTGTTATCAGCAGTAGATGTGAAAGATTTCTGCTTGGACTTATTTTACGTTCATTTATTTAACATTCCGTTTATGCCAGTAGGACACTTTGCTTTATCCTTTATACAGTCTGTGATTTTCTGTTTGAGCTGTTAGGATGAGGAGGAAATGGTTGGTTTTGGCAGAATGAAGGATGATTTTTTTTTTTTTTCCTTGGGTGTATTTAGAGGCCTATACCAATACAAAGATGGTTGTATCATCCTCTTGTGCAAATTGGTAGAGCTCCCATGACTTAAACAATTTATAGTATTTATAGGACTAAACGACTTTATTTGGCTGAATCACTGGGACTTTCTCAGTGCAGAGATAGTGATTGTTTACTCTTATTTGACGGCTGTGGTGTGTGTGTCTTGAGATGTTTTTAGTCTTAACATTTTTGTTTCTGGCATTGTTAAAGGAGAGGAAAAATCTCATTTTTGGTGGAGTTCTCTGGCCTCTTAATGGCTGTTTTTCAGAAATGGAGTTGACTGTTGTATTCCCACTTTGGTTCAGTTTGGGAAAGAAATCTCTCTGGAAGCAATTACTTCTCTCAGCTCTTTTAGGCATTATACCCCTGTGGTTTTTCTCTAAGTTAAAGTTCCATCAGTTCCAAACAACACGGAGGTGATATGTTGTTCCTGAGAAGGAGTTGTTTTATGCTCTTAAACCAGATTTGATAAGCAAATTTAGCATTCACAAACTGCTGTAATTGTGCAGATAGATCAGGTAATGGCAGATACCAATATCCATTTAGCTATTATTACCTCTTTCAGACTTGTGCTTCTATCTGCAAGTGGAAAGCATTGTTAGAATTAAAGATGCCTGTGGCAATTGTCTGGATCTTTCAAATTTTCCCCCTTTACCTGTATGCAATACTCGAAGGACTAGTTTGGAATGAAGTTTTGATAGGCAATCATTTGTTTGTCTGAAACTCTGGTTTTGCATTCCAAATTCACCTACCTCAGGAAAGAAAGCTTTCATTTGTTGTATGTAATCCATACGAGTGCATAAGGATAAATTTATACTGCAGTTTCTAGACATGTAGAAGTATTTGAGATTCCTTTAAACTAACCTGCTTAAATACTGATGGCAATGCAGGCTGTGGTAGGAGACTGGATTTTAGGGTAGCTACTAAAGTGTTCACCAACTTCTCACAGATTTTGTGGGATTCAGTATTTCTGAAACAGTATTTGATATCTGATAATATAAACATTTAGCTGAAGTTGCAGAAAGTGGACAAAAACCATTGTCTGGTAATTTAAAAAGGGGGCTAAGTGATTATAAAAAATGATGGACATATTACTCAGAATAAAACAGTAGGTACTGTAGGTGTTGTTATGGTTTGAAACAAGCTAATGAAAGTGTTTAATGTCATGTTTGGTGGGCTAAGAGTCCTGGTGATAAAAGTACCCAGTTTTTTTCCCTTTATCCTGACATTTCCTTTGTTCTAACATTTTCCATCCCAAGTGGCACAAGATGAAATTGGTAAGCCACTGGTATTGCTACAGGGAGAAGTACTGACCAAGACTGAAAGTTTTTTCAGTCAGTGTTGCCTAATCCACCCTCCCTTTAATTTTCAGTCATACTTCTTTTTATTTCAAAATGTTTTTCCATTCTCGTTATTTGTATCATGCATCTACTAGTACAGTTTTGTAATAAATTCCATGCATTTTTTAAATTTTTGCTTTTCAACTCATAAAACTTCTTTGCATCAAATGCTTACTGTCCCCCATTAGGGACAGAAGTTTTAAGCTGCTCTCAGCACAGAAAATGTCATGGTCCTGTGAACATTTGTGGGTAAAATGAGGCCTCTCTTGTTCAGGGTGGAGCTAAAGGTGATGGCCAGGAAAGACCTTGTGTTGCTAGTGGCCATGGGATAACCAGGAGAGTAAAGAAGCTGTATAGGATGGTCATGAAGGAAAGCAAACTGACAAAGAGGTTAGAACAGTGTCTGGGAAACTATATGGAAACAGAAATGAGAGTGGCAGAAAGCTGCCTAAGAGCAGCCATGAAAACAGGCGAAGCAGGAGAGGGGCAGAGAGCTTGGGGATAGGGTATCTGGAGTGCAGGTGGTGGAACGAAGCTTGGTGTCTGCTGAAATAATAGGTGTGTAGCTGAGATGGGCTGGGTAAGGCAGTTAGTGTGCTCTGTGTACTTAACGCAGGAAACACTATGAGGGTCATGGTCAGTTTGTTGTACACCAGGACCCTCAGCTCCTTCTCAGCAGAGCCTGTACTGCTGCTGGGATTATTCCTTCCTTTTTCAGAATTTTACATTTTACATTACTGAACTTCCTGAGATTCCTGTCAGTCCATTTGTCCAGCCTGTCGAGGTGCCTCTGGATGGCAGCATGACCTGCTGGTCCCACGCCTCCCAGTTTTGTATCTTGTCCAAACTTGCCGAGGGTGTGCTCTGCCCCATCACCTAGATCATTAACGAAGATATTAAACAGTATTGGTCCCAGTATTGACTGTGGGGGTACGCCACTAGTGACTGACCTCCAACAGGACTTTGTGCCACTGATCACACCCTCTGAACCACTTTTATAGCCTTTGCTTTCTGTCTGCAGGCCTAATTTTGCAATTACATTATTTTTTTTCTACTTTTATCTCTTAATACGTGTTTATAGTGATACCACGGTCCAAAGCCTACACGTTTCAACTTGACCTAGACAAGTTCTGCAGCTGCTTAACTGAACTGAAAAATGAACTGAAGGATGCTGTGAGGGAAAAAGATGCAAGTAGGGAAGCAAGATGTGAGTGCAGGGTGTAGATGTGAGATAAAAGATGAGACTCAAAGGAGGAAAAATTGGGGGCCAGAGGAGAAGCTGCCTAGCCTGACAAAGTTGAGAAGTGAATGGCAAGAAATTACCATTTCCCCAAGTCATGCAGAACAGATTTTTTTTTTTTTAGGGGCACATGGAGTGATGAGCACTTCTGTGTGCTGTTTCAGTTTTATTTTGAACATGATGTGGCTATAGGCAGCTTCAAGTTCCACAGAGAAAAGCAGGAAACAAGAATATATTGCTATAAATCTGATTTGCAAGTCTGCTTACTAATGCATTTGAGTCCTCTGCTTCCATGCACTTGCATTTCGCTTATAGTACTTTCCAGAGTCTATCAGTATATCTAATACCTATGCATTTTCATTTGTGTTTACCAGTTTGAATGAGCCATCAGTGGAAAAATAAACACATAATGAAACAAAGTTAAGCCTTCCTCTAAGAACTGGAGAATAAGAAACAATGTCACACAAAGTGTGTGCGTCTTCAGTAGGATACAAAATCCTCTTCTGTACATCTCCTGAGGTTTTCAGAGAAACAGGGCACAAAGTTGGCTGCAGTACAATTATTATTCACTGGAAATAAAATCACTTGAATACAAATTATAGACCATTACTTTTCAATACATGTAAAAGGTTGATTTTTAATGTAGTTCAATACCTCATTTAATATTTTTAATCAGTTTTGGAAAGCCTTCAATATCTTGACACAGACTGAAGCTTATAATTTTTTTTTAATTGTTTTAATGAGAATAACTTGGATAGACCTGTGTATAGAAAGGTAGCAGTTACTCATTTGGGAATTTAATCTTTAGGAACCAGGTTCATTGGTGTTAATTAGAATCCATACCCAACCTCCCAGTCCTTCCAAAATTATCATACTGCTCTGTAGAAATGATAGCTCGTCATCTCAAGTACTGCTATTTCACATTTTGAACTACTTAGAAATTATATTGCTGTAGGTAAAAACCTCCTGTACTGCATAAAAGAGAAATGTGATACCAGGGTATAGAGGAAAAGAGGCAGGAATATCAAAAGCCTCTCTTTTCTAAGATTTTGTTATGAGACAATAAGAAAAACCTAAGATGACAAATCATACTCTTCATATCTGAGTTCTGTTTTTTAATTTCATCTTACAGGCTGCATGCTGCTTTTTTTTTTATTACATTGAAGAAGCCTTATCTATTGTCCTTTGCTTACCTCTCTAAGTGTTACGGAGCAAGGAAATCGAGGTTGTATTCAAGAATGACTAGCAGTCTAATGGTAAAAAGGATAGATTTGGTTCTGTTAAATTTGGGAACACATTTATGTGAAATGCAGATAAGGTCATCACGAGGACATATTCTTTTTTCACTGCATGGAGTACTTACACAACTTCTTCTGCAGCAGAAGCAATGCACAATAGATTAAATGTTTAAATTTTTTTTTCATTTTTGTCCTGGCCTTACTCAGGCAAATTCCTATTTGCCTGGCTAAGATACTCTCTGCAGTCATTCTCGTTTGAGTAGCTATATATAGCTATCAGCATCTGGCACATGCGCTAGCAAGTGTTCTTTAAAT